AGTTACGTCAGTTGATACCCTCAGTCACCTCTTCTGGTAAAGAAGACAAAGCAGTTAAACTGTTAAGCAATCGCGATTCAATTTAACATTGCTCTTCAACAAACAGACAGTTACTTCCGCTACGAGCGCCACTTTCCTCGAGTTGACTGCTTCACACCACGAGCGGCAGCTCCGTTACTTCCCGACCTTCACCGGACCCATAAAACCTCCAACCCCTCAGCCACAACCGCCCCCACTCACCTCCGCACGCCCCGCCACTCGCACCCCGCCACGCACCACCACTGCCCAACCCACACCGCCCGCACCCCCCGACTCCCGCCCCCGCACCTCCCGCCCCCGACCGCCGCCGACTCCCGCCCCACTCCCCCCCACTCCCGCCCTCGCACGCCGCCCTCGACTCCGCCTCGACTCCCGCCCCGATCCCGCCCCCGACCTCCGCCCCCGACTCCGCCCCCGCCACTCCCCGCTCCCCCCCGACTCCCGCCCCCGACTCCCGCCCCGACTGCCCCGCTCCCCCGACTCCCCCCCGACTCCCGCCCCCGACTCCCCCCCCGACTCCCGCCCGGACTCCGCCCCCGGCTCCCGCCCCCGACTTCCCCACGCCCGACTCCCGCCCCCGGACTCCGCCCCGACTCCCTGCCCCCGAACTCCCGGCCCCCGACTCCGCCACCCGCACTACCCCCGCCCAGCTCTTCTCTCCCGGGTCATTCCCTCCTGCCTTCCGGCGGTGGCTCGTTCTCTGTCGATCCAACGCAATTAATCGTTGTCAGCGCGTTGGGCGCAAAGCATGCGGGAACTCACCGGCCGCCAACCCCCCTTTTCTTCCCCTCCCCCGATCCGCTTTCACCTCTCCTACTCCATAGCAGCCTCTCCAGCGGTTGATCTTGCCCTCGGTCTTGGGTTCGAACATAAAAAGGGGACTCCTTCACAGTTAAAATGTACCAAACACAAGAAATTACCTCTCGCGAGAGCGTAGAATTTACCTTGGGTCTACATCTTGATCAGGGAAAAAATATCATTTTGAAAAACCAGACATTTAAAATAAATAAAAAAGTCCTCGAAATCCAAAATTTCAAAACATTAATTTGACTTTTTCCTTGGCAAAAAAAAAACATATCCCTTCTTTCATGGGACGTAAACCAAAATTTATATCCACTGTTATAATTTACAACTCCAATTAATTAAACTGCCCCGACTTTGGGCCGGAAGTGTCTAAGAGCATGCACAGACTAACGCTTGTCGGAAGAGCCAGGGTTTCAAATCACCTTGGCGCGTAGTTGTTTATTCTTTGTCCTCTCATTATGTGATGTCGCGAAGCCGCTCGCTTTACGAGCCAGATGAGGACCCGGCCAAGATTGTGGTCTTGAATGGTTAATACTAACCACCAAACGTAAAAAGATCCCTGTCGGCTGATAAATTGCCCCCAGAAAAAAAATACTAAGACCTCTCTCATTATGGAAACTGATCTGTGGGGCCCACATTATAGACCTGAAATCTTCACATTTCTGTAAAAAAATTAATTGCTTGCCATGCTTCATGTTTGTTCAAAATAAACATAATTGCATAAGACGTACACATTCCCCCAATGCTAACACAAAAATACATTTCAGTGCGTAAATCTATCATATATCTAGAATCACTCAAACATACTCGACAATAACTAAACTTGAAACTAGCCCGATTCCAACTCTATTAAACACTAAATAGTTTTTTATCTTTAAAATAAAAAGTATATGAAAATTCTTATATTTCTAAAGTAAGTATTAACTAAACTTAAAGTTATAAACTATAATTATTTAAACTTATTTAAACTTAATCATGGTTTCATTGAAATCATATATATTGGCAAAAGTCTGCTCTCTGCTTGTCTTAATATTAACACCCCCAACTACACTAATGGGACGATACCCTTATCCGGTGACGCCCGAAACACTGATCAATCAATCGAAAATTTCACTTTAAATTCTGCATACCCTTGATTTCATTTTCTAGGGTAAATTACCACAGTATAAAATACTATGCTTTATCCTTCAGTAAAGCACCGCGTGTAAAGCTCAGGAAAAGGAAATCACGCACCTAAAGCAGTAATTCTGGACATATACATTTATTGCTTACCACTAGACCTCGCGTTTTTCACATGGCCCCATCTCGCAGGCGAGCTGACCCGAAACTCCAGGGGCACTAATCCACAAAAAGCGGCGCCGCAGCACAGCTGCCTCTGCACACACAGAGAAACGGGGAAAAATCCTGGGGGGTGAAAGTTCATAAAAAGCATTTATTTAACCGAAAAATTCTTGCCTTAAAACTTTTCGCTTCACCGTATTTACTATCACCTTCTACTGACTCCTATTTTTTCAAATGGTTCCCACCTGTTCTTCTCAATCATCTATTTAAAAATGTATTTGTAACTTCTATTGGCATATTTGAGAAAAGGCCTTCTTATTACCCCCCAAAAATAAAATAAAAAAATAATTGTATGCATTCCAATATGGTCAAAATGCTTTTTAATTTAAAGAATCCCAGATATATTCACCATCTTATTGATATTTTTGGCGCGCCGTGAGTGCCCTGTCAAAATACATACTATGCTTTTACCCTAAGACTAACACCGATCTATCTCTCATCGAAACTGTATTCCCCCCGTATCCTTAATTTCCTGCGATTAAGATCTACCAACTCATAATGCCCATTTTCATGATATGCGAATTGAGAACCACTCCCGTAATTAAGTCCAGGTCAGGGCTTGTTATGGGGCACGCGATTGGAGTGAAAAGAGCTGACAAGGGCAGAGGCGGAATATTCGCTTACATATGGTAATCATGGTCAATTTTTAAAAATAAGTGTATTTTTCATAATTTGTTCGAAAAATATAGACGAACTTTAAACATCTATTTTCCATCAAAAATCGTTTCCTGTGTAAATTAATTTCTTAAATTTTCAGTCGCGCTCTCGTCATCTCGTAGCACAGAAACACAATTCGCAGCGGCGGGTATAAGCCAGTTTTCGAAGAATAACCGATATTGGGCTCTTTATATGAGAGATGAGTAAGTTCCCCTTTTTCACCGATTTCTCTGCTATTGCTGGAATGAACAACAAGAAACGTCATCCTAGAACACCGCTCGCAGCTCTGTGGTAATTAAAATAATTCTGTACGGAGCGGCTCCTAGAAGGATTGCCTTAGAAAGAATCGCGAGCGTAAGATGATTTCGCCAAATCTGAAATTTCGGAAAAGGCGGGAAATGTTTCGGTGCGAGATAATGCGGAAGACCCCAATCTAGATGGATGGTGGAGGCGGATCGGACCGCGAGCGCAGTCAGATAAGTAAGGGGGCCCAGACGCAAGACAGTCAGGGCGGGGAGTTCGTGTACGGCGGGGATGTCGCGGCGCGGAGTCGGGGCGGGTAATGTGTACGACCCTTTATCTATTACACCAGGACGTGCAGCTGGCTTTCGGCATCGGAAACAAGATCGATCTTCGGTTGTTCACCCGTTTTTTTCGTAGATCCGAACCGTTACTAAAGATGTAAAAAGTTATGTCTGGGAAGTGTTAGCACCCCCGCTATCACTTGTGAGATCATGGACGATCTGTGTGACACCCAATTTTCATTTAATGGTAC